CAGGCCGGGCCTCGCCGTGACGGGCCGTTTCAAACGGCAGTTTTTAACTCGCTTCAAACCCTGCAGGAGGAGCAACGCGCGGTGCCGCTTCGGGCTGGGTGAGAAGCCATGGTTTTGTTTCTGTCCCGCTCTTTTGCGTTTTTAATGACGGATCTCTGTCGTGCCGTCCAGTGTTGGCGAGGTGCGGGTGTCCTTCCAAGGCCAATGTCGAGGGCTGCAGACTTTTCTTTTGCGTAAAGCAAGCTAGTAATTCACCTTAATAATTTCAGAGCGCCGTTAAGTGCGGAGAAACAGTTCTTGTGTCAAAGTTTAAACATTATATTTTTTTTTAAATCTATCTCCGACTCAGTCATGTTTTATTAAAATGATTTTGGTGGCATTTCTGTTGCATGTTTTCCGATGTGGAAAAACAAATCAAAACCCACTTATCACATGAATCATTGTTAAAGTCAGCAGTAGTCCTCTGTGTAAAATCTGCCAGTAAAAGCTGGGAGGATGGGGATTAAACCTGGAGCACATTAAATTAGTTCCAGTCTATCCCGAGCAGGCTCTGCATTGCTTGCTTAGGCAGGCAAAACGGAAACAGGCAGTTTATAATAAGGCTGGTTTAAAAACTGTGGGGTTCATTTGAAAAAGATTTATATCCCCCACTTATATAAACATTACAAATGTGGGCGGCAAGCAGGAGGCAAATCTTTATCAAAATCTCTTTAAGAGCTTTTTCATTGTGAATAAAATGGACAGCATGTACTCTTGTTTGAAGATTCGCCAATATTTGTACAATAATCTTTTCTCAATGCTCTGACTAATTAAAATACGGCTCTGGGTAGAACAGCGAGACCACCAAGCAGTAATTTGTTGGGATCTGACAAAAGTGGCAATAACTGAGGTGGCAAAGGGGGATTATTTGGAGGCCGGAGAAAAGATTGTCTTGAGACAGGTCTAGGTTTTTTGTAGTGGTTATTAACAAAAAGTGAAATTTTAAAGAGAAAACAACTGTGTCTAGATTTATCTCCACCCACCCCCCTTCCCCGGTGCATGCTGCCGTTCTTAAACAGTAGCATAGAAATTTTGTGAGTTTTGTGATCTTTGCTAGGGCCTGCAGAACCGTCTGCTGGGAAAGGTTGGAATGGTTGCTCCAGTAAAACTAAGAAAGTTGTCTGGGACATGAGGGTCCCAGCTGACGGCTGGAGTAGCTACTCGTATTGTAACATTTGGGGGTAACTGAATTGTGATGATGTTATTTTGAAAATTTATGTTTAGAAGGATTAAACATACATTGGTGCAGTAAAAAAAATCTGTTTTTATTTTTAGTGTTAACACACAATTTTATTTCTAGCTGTTGCAATACCATTTTACTTTGTTCATTTAGGGTACATGTTAGAAGAGTTGTCCAAATCCTGGATTTAACAGAAAGTGCTTTTCATATTTCATTTTGATGTTAATAAACAGTGTCTAAAAGAGCTTTGTAATACTAGCCTGCCTTCCAAAGTAGGATCCAAGTCTCAGATAAATGACTTAAAGTATTTTGTGAGTTGTAACATATAACCAAGATCCTCTGGATTCTCTCATTCAAACTGTGGTTTCTCATACCTCTTCTTTTTTGCTGCCATTGTGTCTCCGTGCGGAATATCACTTATGCCGCGAGTGTCTGATTCTTGTGTCCTGAGAGCGGACTGACAAGCAGCGTGTTAGAAAATTGTGAGCTTTCTGTGCTGTGAAGGGGGTAAAATATTTTCTAGTAGCTGCCAGTGTGTTTCTGCTGTTATAGTGGTATGCATACACTGCAGTAGAAGACGTGTGGTAGAAGCTGGAAGCACTCCAACCTGAAGGTGTGGGGAGCTGGATAAGAGGAATAGAAATTATATCAAAGTGCTATATTTTCTGTCGTACAAGAGATATGTGCAATAGAGACTGTGAGGTAGATAGACATACCCATCCTTGGCTTTTGGAAAAGAAGTCAGTTAATAGTGAGTTCCATCCTGCGACAGCTTCACGACTATTGGTACTCAAACTAAATAGGCTGCAGCAGGCCTACAGAGTGTGCCTCTGCTGTATTGGCATCAACGTACCATGATTTGCAGTACATGTGGAGGCTGCAAAGGGAATTATGTGGTGCACTTACTCGTAACTGGGACTCAGCATCAGACTATCAGAGCACCTGAATTAACGCTTGGTAGCATGAGGAAGCTACCGCTGGTTGCAGGTGGAGAACAAGCAAGAAGCTTGCAGTCAGAGATGGAGGTGAGCGCCTCCGGAGTCTCAGTCTGGTGCCTTGACCACTGGGCCATGCCTCCTTTCTCTCCTACCAAAAAGCACAATGAGGAACTAGAAAATACCTTAGTACCTCACCGTCTAGCATATACAATGGAATTTGTGGCGTTTTTTGTTTGTTGGGTTTGTTTTGGGTCTTTTTAACATTGCACTTACAGCCACCTTTTTTTCACCCATTATTGAAATCTGAATTTTAAGTGTTATAACTCAGCACATTTTGGTATTCTCCTGGAATAATTTTAAAAAATACTTAATATAAAGATAACCTAAGACACATCTGGGCTTATTTTTAAGGCTGTTTTTTTTTTCTAGTTAAAATGGCACAGAATATACATTTCCACAGGTCTTCAGAGAAATCCTTTCTGCATGAAGCAGCTAGGAAATCTATATGGAAGTAACTGAAAACTTCTGAAGTCCTTAAATGTTTGGAATGACATGCATGATTTAAGTGTTTTTAGATATTGGGACCAGATGTCCTGTGCTCCAGTCAGCTCCCTTTGCACAAATGTGATATCATGAGGGACAGTTATGCTGACTCAGGCGTTCGGCTGAGTGGGAGGGAAATCCCAGGGGGACAGAAAGCCAGGATTGTTTTTCTAGTTGTAGCTTGTGCTGGACAAACGGACGGAGAGGAGCTGCATCAGGAGCAATCTCTGGCAGCCAGGATGCCCTCACATGGCCCTTGCAGCTGGCAGTGGGAGAGCAGCCCAACATCTTCTCCATCCAGAGCAAGGAACCAGCTGCAAAACCACTGCCAGTGCCACTCAGCACAGCCTGGTGCCTGGGGGGATGATGGAAGCACTGAAAGGAGGCGAAAAAGGAGAGGACTTGCTGCATGCAAGTTGTGGGAAGGGCACTGGGCCGATGGGCGTGGAGCATCATGACTGAAAAGCAGGTGTTGGGTATACTTTCTAATAACTGGTGTATAACTATATAAAGTTGTATACCCATGCACAGGCTGCCCAGCCGTCTATGCACCACTGCATATGAATACCAGCGTTGAGGATTCCTGCTTGGTTAAGGAGCTGAAGGAACAGTTCATAGGCAGTCGAGTTAAATTGTGCTTGAAAAGAGAACTGTTAGCTTCTAGAGCAGGAAGAGATTTCCAGGATGGGATGAGAAGATTAAAAGAAAAATGGGATTTCAGAATTTTCATCCCCTTGTGTTATCACAGTGGAAAAATAATTGCCATTTTACCTATATCCGAATTTCCCTTGATGTTTTATATTAGATGTATGATCAGTAGTCATTGCAGCTACTGTTCTTGCACATTTATATGGAAAAAAAACATGCATTCTTTACTTTAAAATATCACTGTTGTTTGCCATCTGCTGCTCTCCGAAAGATGATGACCTGATTAGTTTCTAATGGCAGTGGAAAACTGGACAGGAAAATTAAGGTTTTAACCTGGTGCGTTTCATAGGATGAAATGAGATGTAGTTGTATACTTATGCTTGTCTTATTCTTCCCAACCTAAAAAAAGGGAAGGAAGGTGTTCTTCCTTGTGCAAATCATGCCACAAGGAGCATCCTCCAGTGAAGATGTCCTGCCAACGAAAGATTCCTTCCACACACAAAAATGAATGAGGGGCTCATAAGTTACAAACTTACTCATGCGTGTGACATCTGCCTTTAATCACCATGAAAGCCTGAATCCTGTTTAAAGCATGGCGAGCCTTGTACAAGGGCTAGAAATGTCAGTACTCTATTGTGACAACATTTACTGTACTGATTAACAGCCATGGTGCTCTGCAGTGGACTGATAATCTGCCTTCGCTTGTCTTTGTGTTGCCGTTCTGTCTCCTTCCTGTGGTTCCAGCCGGGACTGTGGACAGAGCAGTGGGATCTTCTGTGCAAACCTCCCATGTCCATATATTTTTGCTTTGTGGTTTATGTTACATATTATGTCTTTGTCTATCTGCATAACAAGGTATAAAATATTTTAAAGACAATGTAAAATATTTCAAAGTTAGCTACTGTTTAAATTTGTATCTGTAAAACGCGGTAATGTGATCCAGTATCTAGTCTTATATGGCTGTTTCATGCAAGTTGACATTTTAAATGGCTTTCCAGCGTCTTGACTCATAGCAGTTTCAATTCATAGTATTTTGGTAAATTCCAGTGGTTTTTGGCAGGTATGTTTACCTTAGTGATAGATTTTCACTAAGATTCCTAGGTTGATTTTTTTAAGAAAGGGGACAGAAGAAAAGGAATGGGGCGAAAGGATGCTGCTTTGCTCAGATCTACATCCATTTCCATTGAAGTTGTTCACAAAAAGTTGAATCCCAGGGATGCTGTGAAATGGGGTATGTTTTAGCCAAATAGTACCCTTATTCAGCATATTTTATGTAATAATACGATCTCTTAAGCATCGCTAAAAGCTTTCAGGTGTGTGTTTGGCAGTAACTTAATTGCAAACATGATTTGTACGATGCTTTGGTGCAAAGTGGCATTGGTGCTTGTGGCAATGTATGATAGATTTCCTGATTGTCTGTTAGTATCAAACTTCTAGAGGCAGAAGTTGACTGGATTTGTTTAATGTTTGACAGTGAGGTAACACACACACAAAAAGTCAACAGCAACAAGAAAACACATTTCTTTCAAATGAACCCAAACAATCATGTTTGGTTTTAACCCATTAGGAACAGACTTCTTTTCCCATTTTGCCCTTGTCCCAGGCCATCCCATTCTTTCATTTCTGGTACCAATGGCCACCATGGACTGACCAAAAGTCAGGAGGTTTCCCTGCAACCCTGAGGAGTTTCTGGGACATCTGATGTTAGACTGACCTAGGAGTGAAGGATGATATAAAGGGCTGAGGGAGAAGAGGTACCTCAGAAGGCAAGGATGTGGAGGAAGAGGCACAAGATGGGGTTATTTTGACTGTCAGTCTCCTTTTATAACTTACTGCTGTGTGCCAGCCCTCACAGCATGTCCAGTATTTCAGTATGTGTTACCTTTATCCTTTCTGCTAATTACAAATTATTTTTCCCTCGCAGCTCACAATTCTTTTCACTGCAATTAAGCACTGTGCCAAACAGTGCTTTCTGCTTGTTTTCTGTCCTTTCACTCTCCAAAGTCTATCTGAAATACATATGCCACTGAGAGGATCTCCACTGACTTGAGAACTGGAAAAATCATAGTTTCAACTTCCTGTGTTTCTCTTGTGCCTTTCTTGACTAGATTCAAGAGCTGTCTCCTACTCTGAAATTTTCTTCTGCCTGAAGAGATGTACATAAACTGTTATTCTTCCTTTTGATAAGCCAGCTGTGTCACTCTGACGAAATCTACTCTTTCAGTTTTTTTGTAACACACTCCAAAATTATATGTAGCTGCTTAGAAATGTGGACACTGGAACTGCGCATGATACATCGGAGTTAATCCTGACAGTGCTACATACTGTAATAAACGTGCTCCCCTACTTCTTTCCCCTGGATACTGTATTTTATAGTTAGATTGGTCCTTTTGCCATGGCTTTGAGGTAAATATATCCACTCTGTATCCGATCAAAAATGTAGGTGAGCTAGTTTGCTTTTCCTAAGCATACTCAAAAGCAGCTGCCTACAGAAGATTAAGAGAAGAGGAAAAGTTTATGTGATACTCTTCCAGCTCTGACCATTTTGAGTTCTGGAACACATGTGTTTTCTGTGTATTTACTAATATTTCACGGAAATTTTTTCCTCTCTTGAGTTTTCCCATCATCTTTGTGAACCCAACTAGAATTTAGCAAGCACCAGAACCTTTGGCAAAGAGTTCCACATCTGAGCAAATTGCATGAAGAACTACCTCTGTTTGATTTGCCTTTTAAACTGGCTCTTACCAGCTTTGTTTATTGCCCTTTAGTTCTTGTGTTGGGACAGAGTAAGTAATTAATCCCTACCTGCCTTCTCTAGTCCACTTGTGATTTTTTAGACCCTTTATCCCCTCTGGGCCATCTGTTCTTCAAACGTGGAGGGTTACAGCTAGTGATCTAAGCAGGGATTCATGTCCTTTTCTTTGTCCAAAGCATATCTCAAATCTTTTTCAGTAACCATCTCCCGAGATAGAATCCCCTCCTTCTGCAGATATGGTCTGCACTATTGAATGACTGATTTGGTTGTAGTATATTTTGTTTGATTTATACCCCTTTTATTTGTTTTCTGTCCCTGTGGAGTCTTATCCTTTGCTTTGTAGTGACTGAACGCTTTCCCATTGTTCTCCTCAAAGCCGACGTTTTAACCTCCTCAGATATCATGTTATCCCCAGGCTCTTTTCTCAGTATCGAACCCCTACCATCTTCTGGCATTTTCCCCAATATTCCAAGGCTTATAAAAGCAACAAAACAACCTCAAAAAACCCCACACAAAAAATCCTGACATGCATAGCATGAAGCTCTTTCTCTGATGCATGTTTTACCTTGACTGTGCCTGTACTGCTTTTTCATTCTTCTGACACTATTTTTGCTGTGCTGATTCATGTTTATACTGAGCACGTCTGCAGAAGCCATCACAGCTAAAAGCATTTGACTGAGTAGGTTGGAAGTACTCCCTTTTTAACTTGCTGATGAGTCTCTTATGTCAGACATGCAGTGATTTAAGTAAAATTGCCCTTATCCTTGCAGAGCTTTGTCTAATAAAATCCAGACTTATTAAATATCCTTTTTTCAGTATCCTGTTGCTGCTGAGCCCCCATGAACCCATTAAAATATCTTAACACAGCTGTACACTTAGATGGTTTCCAAAGAGAGAGGGAAAAACTGGACTGTGTGATGTAATGATACATCACCAGACAGCATAACTCACTGGAATGAGGTGATTTCTCTACTGTGGAAGATTAGGTATCAGAGGGTTTATGAGAAGCTTTTTGTGATGGCATTTAAATTTTCTCAAAATGTATGTATAAGTCTTGCAGTTCTGACACAGTAACTGAATCTGCCTCTTGTAACACAAGAAAGAAAAATAACTGAAGAAGTTGCAAGATGTTTGGAAGGGG